CGGGCATCTATAAGGACAAGAAATCGAGCAGCTAAAAGAGAGGAAGAGAGAGATGGCGGGGAGACGGCATGGTTCGGGGTCGGGTCTCTCGGATACCCGCGGGCTGTTCTGGTTCTAAGATTACGATCATAACGAAAAACCTTCTCGCTCCCATTGGCCGTCAACTCTCTCTTTCTCCCCTTTCTTCTCTCTTTTTCTCTCTCTCTGTACCCGCACACATATACGCCATTCCCCTTTTTCTCTCTTTCTTCGCTCGTCCTTCCGTTCGTTTCCTCTCTGTTCCGCCCGTTCGCTGGGCTGCTTTCCTTCTCCTTTTTCTTCGTGGCCGTCGTTCGCTCTGTATGAGAACGTCCGGCGACGGCTGCATCGCATAGAGCATTGCGCGGCACGGTATGCATTATGGAACGAGCGGGCAACGATTCTACCGGAAAAATTGCGGACACGCGAGACGGACGCGATCTGCAGCCTGACTACCTACCTACCTACGTAGATATGTACCTAAGCACCGAACCACCGCCACACATTCTCCCCCCACTGCCTCTACCTCTCTTTTTCTCTATCGCGGCAGGGTTGCTCCGCGCTAGTCGCTGGAGAAGATTGCTTTCCTATATTGCATCCCCCGGCTACCCCCTGGCCGATCCACGGTTATGGTTCCTTTCCATTTTAGAAGAAACGACCAAGAACGAGGGAAAGAGAGGGATCTCTATAACACGGACCCGGGCACCCGATGATGCCGGACCCGATCATACACTCGCTGGCAATAAGCGAGCTGTTTACGCGGCCAACGGATGTCTAGTGACTTCCGTTGATTCCTCAGATTTTATTTCACCCTTTTACCGTCCCCGTCATTCTGCGGAAGGCACTTCCGTGGAAACGCACGACCATGCTGCTTGAACTGGCCTGACCTACTAGAATATCTATATTGCGTGTTTGTAATTTGCTGGTTTATTTATCCTGCTGCTTCGTGTCTGTTGCCGATTAAACTTACGGACAATAAGATACGAGAGGAGATAGCTTATTTGTTTGCTGCGAATTTATTTGTGCTTCTAAATATTTTGTCGGAGACAATACACCTATCTGGTTGTTTTAATATTCTAGATAGCAGGGAAAACATATTTGTCGTGTTTTGTAATACCTTATGTTTTTTAGTCTTCCTATTTATACAAGACGAATCTTGAATCTACGGCTGTAATAGCTATCCATTCTACCGTACATATCCCAAATGTTACTTGTATATTAATAACAGATCGGTTAGTTATTACAACCTTCAATAACGAGAATACTCAGGACAAAAATCTCTATTGCTAACCGCAACAGGCAATCACAAAACCAAGAGAACATCAGCCTCGTGGCTGACTGTGACTCAGCAGTGCGATGCCAAGCGAATTTGTCGCTGTCGTGAAATTCCGCGCGAAGTGGTCGCGATGATGAAACGGCGCGGGTCGTCGTCGCGGCTGTTTTCAAAAGAAATATTCAACGCGAGAGCCTGCGACTGAAAGAAAGAGAAAGGAGACGGTTGCCCGCGCACCCACCGCCGCGTGTCCCATTTGCGTCGGTGGGAAAATTGCGAGGGGTAGGAAAAAGGAAACGCGACGTCCTCTCTTGGCTAGGGCCTCGATGTTACGAAGAACTGAGCAAAAGTGACAACAGTCATGGAGCGCTGATGAAAGGAGGATAAAAGAGGATAGCGTAATCCTCTGGAGTCCGGTTTTCAAGAGGGGTTTGCGTCAACAGATGGCCGACGCTTTAAATTTAAACAGCGGTCGAAAATAAACCGCGCGCGCGGCCAGTCGCAATGAAATTCTACGCGCGTACGCGGTCTTCTAGCGAAATTAAACCGGTTCGGGACGATATCCGGCGCGATCGGTGTACTAGTTACTAGCAGAATTTACGAGTTCCACGGATCCGGAAAATATTTGAAACACGCGCGGTTCCGAGGAAACCTGCCACATGCATTACGCCAACCTTCTTCTTCTTCTTGTTTTTCTTCTTCTTGTTCTTCTTCTTCTTGAGTGTGCACTTCGAAACGTCCCCGTTTGGAACGTCTACGTTTCGTACCTTTTTTCAACCGGTTTCTTTTTCAGATTGAAAGTTATCTTCCTTCATCGAGACGCGGGATCTCGCCGCACCGGTTACCGTTCCCGATAAAAGCAATACATCATGGCGCGTCGCCGACTGAAAATTGTCCGAGATAATCGGCAGCGAAAAATAGGAGAAAAAAAAGAGAGAAACGGCCAAGTGTCGTACAAAATGACGAGCACGCGTAATGACAGGCCGCCGGGTTCGGTTGGTAAGATTGATAACCATCCGATCCACCGATCGAAACGAGAAACCCATTACTTATCTCCGAAAGGACTATCATTATGCGGTGTTCCTCCCTTTGCTCCCTTTCCCTCCGTCCTTACCCGCGCGACGATGTATGCGGTATATTCTGGGACGATGCTGCGCAACATTCGGACGCATGGGATCGGTAGCATATAGAAGAGTAATTAGATGAAATTATTCCACGTCGGGGTACGGGAAATGAATGTAATCCAGCCAGAACGGGGACGATGGGAATAATTGTTCAACGGGGGACGATAGTTTCGTGAATCATCGTCGACGAAATTAGGGACGATAATTTTAATCCTTTTTCTCTGTTGTCGTTTCTTTTCAGTTTTGTAGATGCCAGCGTTATCCGTGGATCCAGCGATTGGACGACGATAATTTCGCGTGCGCGCGCGTTTAGGAGTTCCGGGATAGTAAATGGAAGGCTAAGAACGCGGAAAGTAAAAAGAAGACGCTTACCTGGAGATGAAGTTGTCCGTTATTGTCCACCCATCCGATGACCATGTCCGCCACAAGCCCGTCGTCATCCTTGGTGAAGCCGAGGCCCACGTAGCCCAGAGTTTTCACTTGGATCTCGAACATAATATCGTTCTCGCCGGGCGTCCACAGCACCAAGAAGCTGTTGTCCAAGGTGGCGCTGTGCTGCCAATCGACCGAAAGGACGCCACTTACGAGGACGAGGACGAGGACGGAACATGCAGCGATTACGGCCTTCATCTTTGCGCTCGATGTACTTCAAAACATCTGCAATCAGGGAATTGTAGGTTGTTAGTTGTGCAAAGTAAACGTTTGGACGATTAACAGCAATTATTTATTACAAATGTATGCAAATTGTGGTGATGAAGCGGGCAAGAACCTGTATTACTAACATGATCGTTAGTTGTTACGAGATGCTGCGTATGTAAGTTCTTGTTTTGGAAATGCCAGTCGTTTATAATTACGATTCGTGGGTAAGTTGCGTTAGAACTTTAAGTCCTTTGGATTTGCATAAACGGATTGCCAACGTTGCATTTAATCCATGTATTTCGTTCATTCAATAGTTACGTTTATATTGTACTTCTAGGACGTGTTAGATATTCAAGTTAATGACACGTGATTATTTAAATTTGTATCGAGGCATGTCAAAGTTAAATATACAATAATAATGAGCGAAGCTTTTCCCCAATTTCGCACATTTTCTGCTTTCTTTCAATTAACCATCCGTTTTGGTTCAGGGCGATAAACAAAATATGTTGTGATACGTTGCCGCGATATTCGGTTCGTTAACTATTTCGCGATTATCCCCGCTACAGTTCGAACCTTTATTAATCGAGTAAATTACCAATCAATCGCACAGTCGATACCAAATATTCCGACCGAAGCAACAAATGAAAAAAATAAATAAAACGGAGAAAGAACAAATTTTCACACGCATCGGAGCATTCTTTCCCAAAGTATCCACGAACACGTTCCAGCTCACCAATTTGCAAGGCGCGCAGCGCGCAGCAACAGCTTCCGTAACCATCGTAACGCCGCAATTACAAGTACTTCGAATCCTTACACGGTAGAACGGTTCCCCGTGAAGCGTCGTTAACGCAGCAATTTTTCCGTGCGATCTCCGCGGTGTGTATCGATACGAAAGTTGTTCCGATGACGTCAAACACGGTTTTGCACCGGCGTCCGCGGCACCGGCGGATCGTTAGGCATCTATTTAGAAGTTTTACGTGGCCATAGACGGCCGAGCGATATTTCCCTTGAATATTTTAACAACGCCCGGCTCTCGCCCATTAACCGAGTTACCGCTGATGCACGGACCCAGGCAACTTGCCCCCCTTTTAAGACTGTCATTCACTTGATAGCGCCGCGCATGAACGACACCGGACTAACATCAACGCGTTTAAATTATTATATGCAATTTAAACGTGAATCCTTTCTATACGCGACAGTACACTATCAACACACCTGCTCGCCACAAGATACAGAGATACTTGGCAAGAATGTTTCGCTGAATAGATGACAATCGCATATAGATTACGTGACGTTTATAAGCTTCGTATAATGCATCAATATGTAAAATATTGAAATAAAATAACTTTCTTAATTTACGTGTAATTCCCCATTAATTAGTTTGAAAGAATATCGTCCACGTCTCATTGAAAAATGTTAAACGTTTGTGTTTGAAAACTTTTGAGTGCAAACTCAAAACGTTTCTTCAAAATGCTAGCTCGCTCAAGTGCACATCCAACGTAACCGCAGCTTAAATAAAACTAGACCCGTAAACGGGCGCGCAGTCCGCGGACTGGTTGTTGTTGCCCGACTGGCTCGATCTTTCCCGTTTCGCATGCGACCCGCTTTATCGCGCTTAAGGGCGCTACCGTGTATCCACGTACGCCCACTGGTATTTTCACTCGTTCTCCGCGTAAAATTGTATTAACCTCTTTATCGTGCCTGTGCTCGTTCCAGTTGCCGCTCGAGATAGGAGCAGCGGCGGAGAGGGGGAGAGAAGAGGGACAACAGGCCGCGAGAGCCTGGTAAATTAAGTCACCGGTCGAAAATTCCTATCTACCCCCGTTAATCCGACGAATCCCGACACGCTCGGACTGATTTATTTCACCGGCTGCGTCTCCACGCGATTATAACGTGATAGCATTAACGCGATAGGAGCGTTGAACGCGGACGTTCTGACACGAGTCCTCGCGACAAACTGATCGCGAACACGTTACGAATTAACCGCTTGAATAATAATAAAGTCGGAGTTGCTATGAAGATGTCTAACGTTATTCGTTTATTTTCTGAAGTTTGCAGAAGAGGATATTTTTCTGTTATCAGTGCTCAAAGTTTCGAGAAAATGCAGACTTACAGCGAACATAAATTTCCTTCCGCCAAATTGTTAGTGATGAAGTAACTCTAATCCACGCAGCGGCGAAAGAATTCACAAGATAAGGGGCTGAGGGTTACCGTCGTCCTTTTATGCTGTTTTTACGCTTACGAGGGTCCGCGCTGAAGCGAGAGCCTATTCTATGAAACTTCGGTTGAAAGTAGTTCTCGCTTGCGCTTTATGACCGATAAAGAAGTGCCGCGTAGTTTTGGAACAAGTACTTCCTACCAAGATTTCATAAAAATACTTCCTTACTGGTAGAAGAATACTCTTTCTGTCAAAGACAAGGGTACATTATGTGTACAGTGAAGTTCCACGATGCTCCAACTTTTGACTGGGGCGCCACGTTCAATCAATGAGAAGCGGAGGCCCAACCCGGCCGACGGAGAACCAATCAAATGATCGGATGGACGTTTTAATTGTCGCTTTTAATTCTGAATTCCAGGTCAAGCTAACCCTGTACAATCACCTTCGCCGGTGGGTGGCGCGAGGCAGAACTGTAATTTCAGATCGGCGCGCGGAACGGTCCAACAGATTTCTAATTAGAACCTCGTAATTCGCAATTAGGTCTTTCAGGAGGTACGCGGGGCACAAAAGAATCTTAATCAAAAGGAGCCCGGGGTAATCACTGTCCCGCTTCTGCACGTTTTTCCGCCGGACCCGGAAAGATGAGCTTAAGATACGTCGGCAATCGATGTTGGGTCAGAAACGCCCGATTCCGGAAACGGTGATTAAAACCGTGCAAACGGGCTGAAACCTGGTACAATCTCGAAGGAAGAACGTAGCCTGATACCGATCGTGTCATTAGCTCCGACCGATTCAGCGTTCCCTAACAATGATCGACGGCGGCCTTAATTTCCGATCGGCGAAACGGCGCGATTCGATTATCGAAGACGAGACGCGGCGGTCGGCCCTGATATATTCTTATCCGGTTCTTTGTGGGGCCCCGTCGATCCGGCCGCTATCAATTTCACTTTGTTCCCGGGCCGCCGTCGTGAGGAAGAATAACGTAATTAACGTCTCAGCTGAATGGACACGCGCTGTTACAACGAGAGAAAAAATTGCTGGCTTGTTCTGGAGCGAACGGGGAAGGAGGAGAAAAAAATACGCGGGGGTGAACAGCTATGGGTCGTTTATATTGCGTCCACGGCAATCAAGCAAGACGCGGTCGGGTTCGAGGGTGAACGGGCGAAGTCAATTTACAGCCGGCGGAATAAGCGCGCGAATCTCCGCACGGTTCGCGGACGAATAAAAACGGAGCACGGTGTTCGGGAATTGAAAGCGAAAACATGCGAACGTATTTTTCGCCGAACAATGGCCAATATTGGTACTCTCAAACCTGAGGTAAATCGTTTCGTCCTGAGGATTTAACGGGTTTTTTCTCTGAATTCAAATATTTTATCCCGTCTGCGGTCGTAACAGTAAATTTCGAATATGTTGTATTGTAGCTGTATTTATAGATAAATATCACTGAAGTTTTATATTTTTCTGCTAATATTGGTCACAGTATTTATTGTTATATTATTAGGAAGGTGGTAAATACTCAAGGAGGTCAAACAAAGCAGTAAAAACAGCGTTTCAATTTCGTTCAAAATTTGATAACCCTCCAGCATAAATTTCGCGCGCGAAACGCGTGACGATCCTCTCCGAGTTCGTCGGTCCTCGACCGCCGGCTCGAAGGGGATGGAAAAACCAGATGGAGGATCGCGGCGAAGCTCCCTTTTGTCCGATCGTATGCAAACATCCGGCGGGCAAATCAGCAGGACGCGCTGTTAAGGGAACTGTCAATTCGGGACGCAATCGAATCGATTAATAGTAACGGCCGCGTGACGCTTGAACGGGCCGATGCAAATTGAGGGGACGACGCAGTTACGAAGTGTCGGACGAGTGTGCCCGGCGTTGGCCATTCAACTATTCGTTTCGCGCGGCCGGGAAAGCGGAGAATTAAGCGCTTCACAGAGATCATCGATCGGTGGAGGTGCGCCTCCGTGTTTTCCGGCCGCTTGCGAAACGCGGCCACGCTTTGCCGGGGCATCGGGGTTCAGCCACGTGTTTCATGCAATTTCGAGGGCCGCGAAACAACCGCAGATCCGCGACCGATCGTTTTAATTAACGGTAACAATGGTGTAAACGCGCCCCGTGAGTTACGTCGCGTTTCGCATCGATCCGTTTCATTTCGCGTGAGGAAGTCATAATCACTGGTTTCAACCTGTCGCAGTTCTGGTCGCGCTGCATTC